TCTTCGGCGCCAAAAAACACCGCAATCCGCCAAACCCCCACACCACCGCTCCCAAGCCCAAAAAAACTTGGCCCTTCTCTAAACACACCGCAACCCACAACCCCACCACCTCTTCTGCTCCCTTCACCCACTCTTTCAACGCCAACAAGCATGCCATCGCCGTCGCCGCCGCCACCGCCATAAAACAAGATCTAAATTTATCAATCACCACGACGATGGTGACTGGTGGGTGTTCGTCGGAAACTGTAGGGATGACGCCGGAAGCTACGACGACAGCGCTGGAAGCTACAACGACGACGCTGGAAGCTGCAATGACGGAAAGTGCGTTCGTATGCGGCAGAGATGCGCGTTCGTATGCGGTGGAGGGAGAGAAATCAGACTCGCGAGCTTCCTTCCTAACTGGACTCGTTCCTCTCCCAGCAAGAGGACGCGCGTTCGTATGCGGCAGCGTTCGTATGCGGCAGCGTTCGTACGCGGAGGAGATGCGCGTTTGTACGCGGCGGAGATGAGCGTTCGTATGCGGCGGAGGGAGAGAAATCAGATCAGACTCGCGAGAATGGTGGAGGCATCGTGCGTGAAGGGAACAATGCCATTCTCACTTACTAACCCTAGCTAAAACGACGTCGTTTTGGGGCATTTAGGGGTGAAAAAAAAAACCTAACTAGACTCGTGGACTCGGCATCAAACTCGCGATTCTGACCGAGTCTACCCGAGTCAGCTCGAGTCTACCAAAAAACGAGTCTATTCGCGAGTTAACCCATTTTGCTACCCTAGACTCGTAGACTCGTACGAGTTTACGAGTTGACTCACGAGTTTGACAACCATGGGTACGAGTCTACCACAATATTAGCTAGCTTAAATAAGTCTCTTATGAGATTAGTCCACCAACTATCCTCCAAATTCTACAAGATTTCGATACTCGGTTAGGAACTAAGTTCCTAACTTCGTATTTTATTTGGTTGTCCACTTATAATCAATATAGCTTGACCTAACCCATATACTATGGTCGCTTCATACACATGTACAATGAATTTACTCACACATGGTACCAACAAAGTCCTAGAGGAGAAATAACATAGCATCCACTTCAAGGTCAACTTTCCAAAAAAGATTTTCAACCAATTGAACTCTTGGAGTACTACAATACAATATCCACATGATAAGATATGCAACTTTAAAAATATCTCATCTAATTCTAAGTGGTTAACATAGTTCAACAACACGATAACTCATTATAAATTCAACACATCAACAAAACAAACACACAACTTCATATCTTTATACTCAATCATCACAACTCATATTCAACTATGTAATTAACAAACATCTTAGCAACACATTATATATTCAACACAACTACACAGATAACATACAACTTGGGCAATACACATCTCACAACAAAATCATCAAATACTACTCCATCATTACAACTCATTTATCATATTGTCATGTTTTTCTTTAGCAGCTAACGCCCGACACTACTCACCTTATTTTCGACGACATCCATGCAAGGAGCTTTCTGTATTGCCCACATTCAATGCTACACAACCAACACCTTTCATGGCTAAGACAGAGGTCCCTAAGACCTTGTACTTGACGTGATAAAACCCCACACCTGACCCCATCTTAAGTAGAGAGTCTCTACCTGAGTTTCGTTCAACATCACTTAAAAACACAACACTCATATGAGCAATGTGCTCATGAAACATTTTGGGTGGTAATTCTTTAGTAAGCGGATCCGCAACCATGGAATTTGTGTCAATATGTTTTATAGACAGTCGTTTACTTTTAACTCTTTCTTTGATAATTAAGAACTTGATGTCTATATGTTTAGACTTTATTGAACTTTTGTTGTTGAAAAATAAAATTACTAATTTATTGTTACAAAATAACTTAAATGGTATTTGTATACGATCTACTATGTGTAATCCTGTGATAAAATGGTGTTAATATTGATTTATATAGTTATTTAATTTATATGTTTTTAAGAGAAAACATCAAGAAAACTGAGTCAAAATTTAAGATACTAAATCTATGAGTTAAAACTGGATATCAAGACTTGTGACTAAACACCAAGAGGTCAAAGAACAAGGAAAGTTTTCACGTCAATTGAGACTAAACGTCAAACTTTAAGGTTCAGCAACAAACTACATAAATGAATTATTTTATATAATTTTTGGGCACTTTGACAGGGTTAGAAAACTCAAAAATAAACAAATAAACACTCTAAAATAGAGACTTTGAGATTAAAAGCATTGGATGTTAGTTCTTCGTTTCTTTCACTTTCTTTGTCTATTTAATCATGTTTAGGAGTAACTAAACTCCATTCTTACTCGAATTAATTGGAAATTCTTCGTTTCTTTCGCTTTGTCTATTTAATCATGTTTTGGAGTAACTAAACTCCATTCTTGCTGGAATTAATTGGAAATACTCATTCTCATTTACTTCGCAAGATAAATAAATGTATATTTCTATATTTTTGTGTTTACCATTGTAAATTTATCCTTTTATGACCTGAACACCCATGAATGAATTCTAGGTTGAAAACTTAATTGAAAAAATTGTTTTTGTTTTCTCTTATCAAAACTGAAACACTTAAAATTACTTAATCGGTAAGAATTGGTAAGTGATTTTTATCATTTAATATTTCATTTGTAAATAAAGTTCTCTATTTAAGTTACTTAGGGATTAAGACTTTAAGACTTGCATAGATTTTAGAGCCTTTTGAGAAAGAATCATGATTAGAATAAAAATACTGATAGAAACATTAAAAAAAAAAAAAAAAAAACATGATTTATTAATTGAGTATACTGATATTGTTAGTTACAATCTAAACACAACATAATTTAATTCATTGTCAAATATCTTGTTATATACAACGTGTTCAATTACATTCCTTGTATAATTTTACACTCAACTCGATTTTACTTTCACTTAATTAATGAATCGATTATGCTAATTTATACTGCAAATATATTCAAAATTATAAATTGATTCTAATTCTGGTTATGTTACAACTAGCGAGGATACGACAATCTTTGTGGATATCATCACAACTGGCCAAATCATGGACTCTATGACCTAAAACCATTACTAGTACGGCAAGTCATGTTCCATCATATCATACTACTACAAAATTGGGAATATTTCAGCCTCGTACTCCATTGAGATATGAAAGGCGAAAGATGAATGACAAGCTTTAGCATATGCTGGTTAGCTATAGCACCTCACCTGTCCAGACTGCCATGTGAGCAGCAATCACTCTGCAGAGCTTATGCATTTGTTGCAGCCTGCGGCAGCGATAGAAGTAACCATTTTCATAAATAACGGTCCTACTTGCGCCGTCTATGTTTAACTTTCACAATTTTTCGACCAGATTTGGCACCACCACCACCATCTGTGCCCAGTGAGAAACTACCTCCTAGACTACCAGAAGCCTGGAATGGAGAAGGGTTCTCTGAAGCAATATTCTGTTGACAACCAAACTGGAAAGGACTGGCTCCTGACGGAGTTGATGATCCAAATACAAAATTAGATTGAACTGGGGCAGGTTGCTGACCAAATATTGGAGTCGCACGTGGAGTAGCTTGAACTGTATACTCAGTCATACTGTCCATACTCATCTGATCATTATTGACAGGAACGGTGAAGACAGGATTAGGACTTCCAAAAGCAGGCTGTGTGGAGGTAGAGGCTGCTGCTGAAGTGAATGGGAATTGAGTTGATTCATTGTTGGTTGATGAAAACATCGTCGGTAAGCTGGCAGAACAAACAGATGTGGCGGAAGTTCCAAAGGAAAACCCAGAAGCAAATGGAGACTTGCTGGTCTGCCAACTAGACCCAAATAAAGTAGAACTTACACCACTATTGGAGATAACAGGGTTGACCTCTGAAGAGGAAGCAGAAGTGCCAAGTCCAAAAGTAGTGCCAGAACTGAAAGCATTTGATGCAGAACTTGAAGAAGGAAACAACGAACTCCCAGAAGAAAATGTGCCACTTGCTGAAGGACTGGATGAAGGTAATGATAAACTGCTCGAAGAAAACAGTGTGTTCCCAATCAGTCCAAATGAAGGGGACGACGGTGATGAACCAAATAGAACTGACTGTGTCTGAGTAGAAGTTGCAAACCCACTTGTAACAGAAGATGACTGGGCACCAAGCACAGAATTACTGCAAGAACCAATGACAGAACTCTGAGACTGGCTATTTACAGTTGTCATTGTTGAAGAGTTAAAACCAAACATACCACTCCCTGCAGATGTGCTACCAAAGGCAGTGCTGCTAAGACTACCGATTCTTGTGTCCTGGTTGCTAGTTTCCGGCAGTTCTGAACCAGAAGATGAAGTTGTTGATGAAGATGCCGCCACTGGGGTGGAGGAACTGCTATTAGTTGATGCAATTGTCGCAGAAGTGGTAGTTGCCATGCCATTGCCAGTAGAATCCGCAGTAGCATTAGTGGCAGCAGATGAACTACTGAATATATTCTGATTATTTGATACAAGAGGTGGAAAAGAAGAAAATGAAGGGCTTGAAAAAAGACACCCGTTACTTTGATTTGAATTGGGGCCATACGCGAATATACTCTTGGATGATGTCAACAATGATGTTGAGGCCGCAGATGAATTAGCTAGTTCTGATGCCCTAACAGAAGATCCAGTACCCATATCAGTCTCAGTATTGCCATTACCAGATTCCTGAACTTTTGGCATCGAATCAGTTGTACCAACAACAGTAGTTGAGCTGCACGTGAGTCGTGAAGGGAACACATTCAGCACATGAATCAATGTAACACTTTATGGAACACATAATATATGATGGCAAATATTTCTGTTGAAATTCAATTGTACAAGGTATTAAAAATAGAGCAAAAGCGTAATTATGACACATCACAGAAATCAAACAACCAAATTGATAAAGGTAATAAAAAATGTTTATTTTAATTGTCAGGCATTTAAACTACCCAAAGTTCAAGATAACAAATAAAGGATGGCAACTTTTATGACCCAGTAACAGACTGCATATGCAAATCAAGAAAAAGTGTATGTAGTGAAACAGGTGGAATGGCAAAAAAAATAATCAGTGAAACCCAATGTGATTATGCTGTGATAGAAGATCAAAATATCTCTCAGCTAGATAGGGTGGCTAAAGGCCCAACAAGAATATTCTATCTTCTAGCTTAACCATGGGGACTTCAGTTTCCTACAGGGCTGGGAGTAATAGCTCTTCTCTGTCTGTCTTACTGTCTTGGGATTGTCTAATTGTAATATCATTCACAGTAAATTGGCTAAATATTATTTCAAAGAAAAGTAAACAAATCTAGAATATTGGCTAGAATATTTTCTCTTCCAATAGTAAGCTATTAGCCATCCGGCCAATCCCCAGTCAAAACAAAGGTGTTGTCACTTTCCAAAAGTCACCTAATAAAAATTACTCTAAAGTCAAAAACTGAAAAGACCTTGTTGGTAGAGGCAAAACCCCCAGAAATTTGGAATGCGTTGGTTTCTAGCTGATGGTGAAAAACAAAAGGAAAAAAAAAGGCAGAACAGACAAACCCCTAAAAAAAACCTTTGTGTTTAAACAATTGAGTTGAGAACAGTTTTCACAAACACAATAAATTTCATGGATTGAGAAATGCATGCTGTTGAAATATTAGGAACAAAGGAAGATTGAGCTTGACTATTGGATTTCAACCGAAGATATTCTTGATATTCCTCCGCAGAAAATTTTTGATCAGATTTAGAGTCTTCAATTTTGGAGACATTGGCAGTTTTTTCAGGAAAGCCATGCAAGGAATAGCAAGTCTCTTGAGTATGACCCATTCTTTTACAATATGAGCACTGGGGCCGACCACTCCTGCCACCACGTCCTCCACGGTTTCCACGACCTCCTCTTCCTCGGGTAGAAACCATTGCTGAAGATTCAGTAGGTTCAACCAAACTTGCACTATTTTTCGAACTTGGAACACGAAGAAGACGTGTTACAAGGTTCTCCATTGAAGGGATTTCTTGATCTGTCAAAATCTGGTCACGAATATGATTAAAATTAGAGTTCATGGCACGCAGAATCAACACCATACACAACTTATCAAGTTTCTTTTTCATCTCTTCCACAGAATCAGCTTCTAAAAACATTTTCAGCTCCTCAGCTGCTGATTGTGCTTGGGCAATGAAAGAGACCATGTCATCATCAGTTTGTTTGAGAGATGCTAACTTGTGAGCTGAATCATATAGACGTTGAATGTCATTGGCAAATATAGTTTGAGCTTTCTTCCAAAAGGAATGACAAGTTTTGAAAGTTCTCAAGGTTCCTAAAATGTTGGGCTCTACTGACTGCCACAGCAAAGCACACAGTTGAAAATCAAGCTTTTTCCACAGTTCTTGACTCTCAGAGGATATTTCAGTAATATCCTTCTCCAAATGGTCATGATATCCCTGCCCAAGAAACCATAACTCTACAGAGGCAGACCAAGACAGGTAGTTTTTGCCATTAAGTTTCTCTGCTGTTATTGTGGGAGTTCCAGAAATGGAAAAAATAGGGCCAGAGCTGGACATGTTGCTGAAATAGATGAAAAAGAAAGCCCAAAAGGAAGAGAGAAACAGACCCACTCTCCAAATAGACCAGAAAACAACAAAGAGAGCTTTGAAACAGACCCAGAAGGTGTCAACGAAGAACTGTTGGTGGCGTGGCCGTTTTCCGGTGGCTGCAGATCGGTACGTTAACAGTGCACGCCTGGTGTAGCAGCCCAAAGATGCAGCGCGTGAGAAGATGTGAAGAGGCTTTTGCCTCTGTGACCACTTGGGTTGGGTTGCGTTTGACAAGGCGCACCAACCCCTAGGGTTCGCCGGAAAATTTCCGGCGGCGGACGGCGGCCGGAGACAACGAGCGGCGGTGGACAATGACAGGCAGAGCGGGTCAAACCCGCTCTGATACCAAGTTGAGAAAACTGACGGAATATGAGAGAAAAGCTAAAGTGTGTGTAATACACTTAGAGCACCTCCAATGGGAGGTGCTTAGTGGGTTGCTTATTGTTAAGGAACGGTTCTTGTAAGAAACTCCTGTTGGAGTGATCTTACGTGGCAACCCAGTTGCTTAAAAATTTTTCTTTGTTGCTTCTACAAGCAACGGTGCTTAGCACTGAGAAGAGGCATTTGATTGGTTGAATCGGATCTACGTGGAACCCTCCAAACAACCAGTCCCGACAGCCCCCGAACCAGAACCCCCTCCCCGCGCGAACCCCTTCCCCGCGCGCAGCTTTCGACCGGACCCCCTCCCCCTGCGCGCAGCTCCGACCA